TTTTGTTTTGACTTGGAAATCCCTTTCAATGTTTTTTCTTCTTCGTCCTTCTTAAATAAAATCTTCATGAGCGTTGATTAAGCGTCCAGTTGGAAACGTTCGATCGCTAATCTGTTTGCACAGAAAGGTAAATATGAAGCGAAAAATTGAATTGATAGTTTATTTTCTGTGCGAACGAGTCTTTTTTATTCTTTAGTCACATCTTTCATTACGTTTGATTGACTTCGGTTCTTGATAACTCGTCGTCGTGAGTGTTTCAGCGGAGATTTTTCACCAAATTTCAAATTTCCCATGTTCTGATGAGTGAGTCTGAATACACAGAACTAAAACGAATGGATGAAATTTGGCTCTGAAATTGTTTTCGGTTTGTCAAGCTGAATGAGGGATTTGCGAGATATTGGGGCTCATTCATTGGCCTGATTAAATTCCGATCAAATCTTCGCGTTAAGAATAAAAAAGCCCGTTTGTGCATTTCTATTTTTTAATTTTTGAGGAATCGCCAACTGAATGATTTTTATTCCAAAAAGTGGGAAAGCTTACGTGAAAGAATAACAGGAAACCACTCACAAATGTTCAGTGTTCTGAAGCTCGTAAATTTGAAAGAATGCCTTATAATTCATAGCCTTCACTTTGAGATGCAAAATTTTAGAAAACAAGATGCCTGAACGCAAGTATGCATTTTCCACATGCAAATAAATTGTACAACTTCAATGAACATCAGCAGGGAATTTAAAAATATTTGTAGAAAAACAATTATTGTTTCTTCAGGTGAGTTATGATGATCTCGTCATCATTATGTCCTTTCATTCGTCAAGACCTCTGAAAGTCTCACTTGTGATGTCAACATGCGATCGTAATTTGTTTCAATTCGAATGAATAATTTTAATGGGCAATATATGACACCTAATTTCAAACCGTGAATTTCAGAAATTAGGACGTTAGTCGATTACTGTCTTGATGTCGCTTTGCATTATGAAAATAGAACTGAACGAAATGCATAAAGTCTCGTCATGTGAACTTGAATTGTTTTTCATATGTTGGGGTTCGATGTCCATTCAAATAACAGAGCTTTCTCTACATTTCGTTACGCACTGTAACCATTTTTAAAAACCATTTAAACGAAGATTATTTTTAATCTAGCTTCACAATGGAAACGTTCGCCCAAATTAAAAGCTCAATGGAGTGTGACTTGACGATTGTAATAATTGACCGTTATCCTGGATGCCTTCACGTTTTCTGCTGCGTCGCTGTGACACTTCGGCATTCGATCGAATCGCGGATTCAACTCGTGACTTCTAGACATTTGTTTCGGAATGTGCTCCTGCTGATTCAAATTTTAAAAAAAATTTAAACTTCTTGTGATTTTCAATAGGGAGAATGTTGCACACCGACGGTGAAGTTGCCTGCGAGCAAGAAATCTGTCTCGCCGGAACAGAAGATTTCCAGGACGCATGGTGAGATGCTGTATTTCAAAGCATATGTGGCAGAATAATAGGTTGAATAGAAAACTAGTGTCGAAACACAAGATTTTAATACAGTAATTTACGTTGCACTCAAATTTTAAACAGAAGACAAAATCCAGAAAAACTGTGTCTCGTAAAATCTCGGTAACAAAATTTTTAAATGAATAAAGGTGAAAAAATGAAGAATAAATAGAAAATATAAAGTTTGCTTAACAATCAATCAGCGAAATTTCCAAAATTTCCCGTCACTTTCACTACTTTTGCGAATTACAATACATGAAAACGGATGAAAAAATTTATACATTTCATATACGCGAACCCAAGAGTTTCCCATCATACCAAGAATTTTATCAATGATAATGATCAAATTTTCGAATTTCTCATTTATATTTTCTTTCCAGTAAAAGGCGATTTTTCATTTCCCAAGCTAGGAGTCATAAATACAGTGCATCGCTTTCTTTTACTGACTCTGTTACCGTATAAAATCTTTAAATGACGAAATTGTTCGGACCATCTGTTGACTATTGGCCACGAAGTCCAATTTTTGTTCTGAATTTTATCGCTAGAGGTCACTATACAATTCCATAATCCAGATCAGCGTTGATTGTCAGCTGTGCAAGATTTAATTCTAATTTTTAACCATTAAGAAATATTTTTTGGAAGCCGCATACAAGCGCTCATCAGGATTTTGAGAAGCTTGGAGCAATATGATAATTTGGAGAACGATTGAGTTCAAAATTAGAATAAAAAAACTCGTTCGTCGTGTGTGTATGAACGAAATCCCATTCCACGGACGAAATTCAGCGTGATTTTCAATTAATCATCGATTTGATTATTCACAGCATGATGGACTCGGGTTATGAGTTCAAGTCCGAGTGGCACCACGACAAACAATTGTCGACGTGGGACTGGCGTCAACAGGCTTGTTACGTTATTTCGGCAGACAACTGCAAGCGTAGACAACGGTATTTTGGCAAATATTAAAATATACTTCCTGTATTCGCATGCTAAAACATGTTTTTTTCAATCTCGAAAATACATTAATTTGTCCTATACTTTCCATACACAGCCCCTACCACGACTCTGGAGCCAAACGAGGCTAGGCTACCTCGTTATGGGACTAGACCTTGTAACTGAGCTGCTCCTTTTCTGTGTTTTCACAAACACAAAATGTCCATTAATATATGTTTTGCATAATGGAATCAATGTAAAGTATGTATTATGGAATCTATGGTTATAATATTTCTTTAGTTTTTATTTTTAAATGCTTGGTTTTGTTCCACGTCCCGTTGTAGAGAATAAACCTGATGAATTTCATGAATGTAAAAAAAATAACAATTAATTTGAGAGGACCTAAAATTGATGAAATATGAGGCTTCTCTGAAGTTCTTCGCCTTTTGGAAGCACTCTCGTCTTTACAACGAAATTTAAGAGACCACAAAAAATATGTAGAGAGAATTTAATCAGAGAAGTCTTTTTGAAAAGGCCAGAGAGAGAACCTTCTGGGACCCCAAAAAATCGTTATTCAGAGGAAATTGTTGTAGACAAGATTATTGTAGACTGAGTCCACTTGCATAATCAAGAGGTTATAGTGTAATAAATACTTGAAATATCCGTCCCTCAAATGAAATGCTGTGTATGAAATTACAGTATATTTAGTGCTTGGAGTTAAAACTAAAATTTATAAGTTCAGTTTCCTGCTGAAGGCTTTCTGAAATTAGCAGACGAACAAACAACAGATGGACTCTCTCTGCAACAAAATTCAAGGGACCTAGAAAAATTCGTTGTAGAAAGAATTTAATTCTGGAGAACCCATATATAACATCAGGAGAGAACCCTTTCATGATCAAACAATCGTTACACAGAGAATATTGTTGTAGACAGCCTATATTTTAGTTTGTGCCCAAGGCCACTATATATTTCAGTGTTTAAAATAATTGAGAAAAGTTCCCTTAGATATTCTGTTTCGGGAAAAAAAATTTGTATGAGTGACAAGATTTTCAAGGAACTCCTTCGCACGAATTTACATGAACGTCATTTTTGACTGCAGCAAATTTCTAAAAGGAATTTAGTTCTCTTTTAAATGCTCGTTAAAAATTGGATGACGAATATTTTTTTCGAAAAGCTTGTCATTTGGCTCGCAAATAAAGTCACAATATATATCGGCTTGACTACTTGGAATCGCTTATGAAATTCTTCTCGAATATTTTTGTACATTTTTTTTTCTGCTCAGCCTTCCCCGGATGCCATCAAATTTTTCGAATCCATCTACTCCTGGTCAGAGCGGGATGACGCAACATTCGCCGAAGTAGTCAAGTCCAAAGGCCAAGAATACTTCCTCACTGAGAGCACTTTTGAACTAGGGTCATACTGCGAAAGTGACACTGATGAAAACGTGTCGATGGAAAAGGCCAAACAGGGAGCCGAGATCAAACTCGGCGTCATCATCCTCGACGACTGCTGCAAAAAGCGATGAGTGATTCCGAAACCAAGAGACAATATTCCCGTTCTCCGTCTTGTTCTGTTGTTTTTTTTTAAAGATGCGAGTGAATGTAATTTTAGCACACAACATTTCGTTGCTAATTTAAGCGAAACGAGGTCGTATTTCCGCCTCGATCGTTTGGCGCGTGCTGCGTGTGAGTGCCATTTTTTTGAAAGCAATTAATCGATCGCTGGAGAATTAAAACCACTGGCTTTTGTTCCAAGTAATACCAATCCGAAGCAATTTTCCTGCTTTTCACTTGATGCCGATGTATATACAAGCGATATTTTTAAAATTTTCTAAATTTTATATTTAGGGACGAAAAAAATGATCTGAAAAACGCACGAAAATTTCAAATTTGTAACTATCTTGATCTTGTTCTCATCGTGCAGTGCACCGAAAAAAAATTTTGCGAACATACTAACGTAGAATTGGATAAAAAAAAATAATTCTTGAGTTTTTACCCATCTCAGGAATGTTAAAATTTGCACGAAATTGAAACCTACCTCGTTTATTCACAAAAAAGCCCCATATATAGTCGTACTCTGAGACTAACCTTTCTTCGCTTTTTTTGCTGGCTAACGTAAAATTGAGTGAAATTCTCGCCTAAAAATGCAAAAAGTCTTGAATTGGTAACATAGAAGGGTGCCAATATTCAAAAAGACATAAGTCCTCGTCAAAAACGTTACATTGCAATGAAAACTTCAAAATAGCTGCAGACTAATTTCAATTCGAGTTGAATTAACGAACCATGTCATAAATATGAAAACTATCACGTGAATTGAAAATATTAATCAGAGAAAAAGTTGACAGCCACTTCTTCCAATTTTCAGTCAGTTCCAAATACAGCATACAGATGGGGTCATGCTTTGAATAATATATTTAGTGACCAAAGTAAGTTAATTGAGTGAGTGAATGAAACATTTATTTGCATTGGACCACGTGCGTCAAAAACTAGCATTTTTTTAACGCAAATTTAATCGGCCATCGATTCGAAGATGACGAGCCTTGATTTATCTTTATATTCCCTCAAAAAAAATAACAGAGAAGTGTGTGTCTCACATTTGAGTAAATACGCTCTTTTTCTCGTCTTTATACACGTCTCTCATTCAATCAGAATTGGAAATCATTTTTACAACTTCACACACTTGGTCCGTATATGCTTATACGTATATGCCCGAAAATTTCCGCGGGGTTCATTATGCCTTTTCGTCTGAAGTTTAAAAGTTAAATTTAAGCTCGACCAATTGAAAGTTTCGAATCACAGACATTCGCACATTTCTTTCGCATACACTTGTGAATCCAGAAATTTTTTTCCCTTTCTTTTAAAAAGATGTATTTAGCATATATCACAGCTCTTGCTCCAGCTGGTCTTGACGTGCATCTTCTTCATGTCTCAGTTCGTCCAGAGAAATGAGTCTGAAAGAAAAGTACGAGATCGATGCAATTCTATTGTTCTCGAGTGTACATAGTGTATACTCGTATAGCATAGAAAATCGAATAACTCACGATGACTTGTCTTCAACCTTGCCCCTCTTGGCTTCAAACAATTGAATGAACTCGATAAGTTTCCGCTTGGAACCTTGAAACGAAACAAGTGAAATCGATTTTCTAAAAATAAATAAATGCAAACGTGGTGCTTTCTTTTGATCGGTTTCTAATTATAAGTGCGTCTCAACAAGTTATAAAACTCCAATCCAGTATGTGAAAAAGTGCACTATGTCACACCTTTTTAAATTTTTACACTCCTTATAAAAAGATCAAACAAATGATTGCTGTATCTACGGATCGATTCAAAGAGGAAGTGTTATTAATGTATATCGTATTTCAAAAGGATGTTATGTGATAACGTCTTAAACTCAGCAACTACAGTATTTTTTGCGAATACCAAATTCTATATTTTTGGTTTAAAAAAAGCCTTTTAAATGAAAAATACATCAGAACTACCGTAAATCTTGACTAAATCAATTATGAGGGCATACATTAAGCAAATATTGTCGCCTAATTCACTGAGTAATTCACAGCATTCACAAAAGCTGCAGAAACTGTTGGTGTCTGACTGGAATTGGAATTATGTTAACATTGTCCAGCTTCGACTGTATCATTTATTCGCTGCATTTCTTCAGCAGGATTTGAAATTTTTTTCAAATATCAAACATTCATAGCCAATTTAGAAAGCGATTTTCCGAGAAAAATCGATGGCCCTTCACTTCACAATTTTCGTCGCATGGAATTTGAAATAATTTCCGTGAAATAATTTCAACATTCAACGCAAGTCCCCGCCCCCGCAAACGAAAAAAAATGTAATTGTAAAAGACAGAAATTATCACCTTCTTTCATCCTTGAAAGTTTCCGCCGGATGTACTCCACATCTTTGTTAATCTGCTTCTCCGAGTCTTCATCTTCCGTTTCGTGATCATCTTCTCATCGAAAACACGGGAAGAGAGAGATTTTTAAAACTTTCCGAGAGGAAAAGGATGAAAAAAAAGGCGGGGAACAAACCTTCGTCACTGGCTTTATCGTCTTCGTCGTCATCGTCTTCTTCAGATGTGAGGAAAGTGTTGAATTCGTCCCTCAGTTCTCGCAGAAATTCTTCGTTGAGTAAGTACACTGCGATGAGGGCATCTTCGTCCATAATTTCATCACCGCAGGTCAAAGGTACCCCGGTTGAGTAATAAGAGGATATGAAGCCGACACCCTGAAACAGTAATTTTGAGTCCCTGATTATGCAGAAAAGCGAGATTTTCTCGCAATTATTTAAATTTAAATCTGTTTTTAACCGTGCTAAATAAATCATATCGCGGAGTAAGAGGTATTAAAGTCCTCCAACCCCCAATTGGCTGGATTTTCGCGGGATTTTTGATGCCCATTGAACAACTTTAAGATGCATAGAAAACTTTTTTGAGAATTGGATTATTGCAAAAATAAAATTTAAATTTCGCGTAACAGTATTCCATCAGTTATCTGCCGATATTCCCAAAGAAAAACGGTACAGGTCAACCTTGATAAGTTGAACCTCCCTAAGTTAAATTGCTCCCTAAGTAAAAAATTTTCAAGTCCCTGTCTGAATTCCCTTAGGACCAATACATTAAAAATCTCCCTGCCTCAAAGTATTTTTCTCTAAAACCTCTGTAAGTCGAATTTTCTGAGGCCTTCTGGTTATTACTTCCTTGAAGTATGAAAGAGAAAATGACTAGTAGTTGAGCGTCCGCAGTGAAATCTTTTCAAATCTTTTCAGAACCACGGTATTTCAAATACCTCGTAGTTTAGTACCGTAACGCTGGTTTAATACCAGTGGTACGCAACCCCTTCAGGTATTTTTTGGGGTGGTGTACCGCTGGTATTATACCAGTGGTACATAACCCCTTTAAAATACCGCAGAGTTGTGTACTGCTGGTATAATACCAGTGGTACACAACCCCGTGGTATTTTAGCAGCAGTACACAACCCTGGTATAATACCCCAGGGTTGTGTACTGCACAGCATATTTTCACTGTGATTGGCCGCAGTATCATTACTGCAGCCAATCGCAGCTTTGCAGAGCGGATCCAGGAGTCCGGATCTGCGCTGCGGTATTATAAAATACAGCACAGCGTATTTTTACTGTGATTGGCCGTGGTATCATTACCGCGGCCAATCACAGCTTTGCAGCATGGATCCGGGAGTCCAGATCCACGCTGCGGTATTTTAAAATACCTAAGTTCTGTGATTGGTCCTGGAATATCACCACAGCATATTATCCTACAGAACTTTATAAAATCAAAAACACTGTGTCAACATTCACTGGCAACATTCAAATGATTTAAATTTGTATAAGATGAAATTTTGTAGAAAAAATAATAATCTGTACTAGGATACCATTCTGCTCACCAAATTCTAGAAAGAATCAGCATGATTCTTGTCACCCAATTGTTCTGGTGATTGGCAAGGCCAAGAACTGCCCTGGCTGGCAGTTGGACCAACTGGCGCTTGACAACCAGCAGGTGCGCAACCGTGATTTGACCAACTGGCGGATGACCCAGTACCAATAATTTGAACCTCCCTAACTAAAAGTCTTTTTCTCTAAAACGTCTGTAAGTCGAATTTTCTGAGGCCTTCTGGCTATTATTTCCTTGAAATATGAAAGAGAAAATGATTAAAACAAATAATTTGATGCATCTTGAAAGGAAGTGAAAGACAAATATAGCCAATGAACCCCTGCCTCCAAGTTCAGCAAGGTGTAAACTCATTAAGGAGCAAGTTTAGGCCTAGAATATCCTCAACAATTTCCTACACTTTTTTCACTTCTCCTCACAACAAAAGTGTTTGTTTCCTCAACTGAAAACCTCCAAAAGTCAAAACCTCCCAGTTGAATTTTTTTCCTGGTCCCTAGAAGATGACTTACAAAGGTTCTACTGTATAAGCCAGAAGAATGTAGGAGGGCATGAGAGAAAAAAAACAGCTATATAAAAAATAACAGACATGCAACACAGTCATTTGATCTGTGAAATTTTTGATAGTTGAAAAGTAAAAAATTGCGAATCTTGCTCAAGAAATGCAGAAAATAAATGATACAAACAAAGCTGGACAATTTTAACATAATGCCAAGTCGAATCGGTCATTAACATTTTCTGCAGCTTTTCTGAATGCTGTGAATTACTTGGTCAATTAAGCGACACTATTTGCTTAACTTATGCCCTTATACAGTAATTGATATAGTCTTTGAGGCTTTCACCTTAAATGGGAACGAAGAGGACAATGAATTTAAAAAAGGGTTCAAATTTTTGTTTGATGAGTATATAGGAAGTGGAGAAAGGTAAAATTCTTCAACACTTTTATCAGACACCGGTAACTAGAACTTCAGGCATAACTTTGTACGTGAAAGAGGAAATTAAGCAAGGTAAACACATCCTTTGGCAAGTTTTCTCGTTCCAACTAGATAAAAGCATCTTTCTCCGCCTCACTTTACAAGGATTGGCTTTAAACTCATTCAAAATGACGATGACGGGCTTGTGTTTGAAATTTCCGTGAGATTTCATTTAATTTTTTTTGCAGAAACAACCCTGTGATAACCAACTCAAGAATTATCCCGTATCACATGGCCTCCCATATTTTCACTCTGTCATCCTAATTTCAAACATCAATGACAATTTTCAAGGTGTGATCTAAGTGGTCAAAATTAGGTGAAATCGGATTGATTGGATTTTTTATTTGATCCAGTCAAAAGTAGGTAAAATCGGCAACTTCGAACAGACCCATTATGATTCTGCGTGTACTTCACAGAGGATTTTCCGTCATTCCCAAGGAGAAATATGTGAAGAAATTCTGCATAAAAAAGTAGGGTCATGGAAGCAATAAGGAAGTACTTAGTCTGTACCTCACAATAAAAGCCACAAGGACCGAATGTTCCCATGCTTTCGGAGCAAGAAATAATTATAGAAATATGGCAAACCTTGAAGGTTCCTCTAGACATTTATTTCGCAAAAATCGCATCCATAAAAAAGCTGACTCAACATCCGAAAACCGATGAAGTTGGAAAATCTGCAGTTCAGCAGTTGCGCTAATATGTTTCTTTCATACTAGATATCACCTTTTTCATCATCCAAATGAGATGTTCGAGAAAGAAGACGGCAGTTTAAAAATTTCAAAATTGTTCACCTTTATATCACAATGCATTTCTGGCATATCGTGAGTCAGGATGAAGGAATAAAAGGAATAAGATGATAAACATTTCAGGGATCCTTTTAGCCCTCGTGTTATGGTTAGGATTTCTTAATAGACTGGAGATCTTATTCTCGAGTGTAAATCAATGATCCGCAGACATTCCAACCGCCAATGCTAATATTGAACTGCGAATATTTTTGTAGGCAGATTCTGTGGAGCAGACTGAGCAAAAATGGCACTGTGATCAAACCCAGGAAATTCATGTTCCTAGTCTATCCTTGGTACAATCCACTCTTTATTTAAAACAGAATTGGATCCTTAAAGAAACTTGTTGACCAAATTCAAGTATGCCACACACTCAGCTGAGATTAAATTAATCGGTTCCTCCTTGCATTCGAAATTAAGACAACTGGAATTTATATACTGTTGATTCGATTCCCCCTTCATTTGAAGCAAGAAACTGTGTTTCTGAGTAATTCAGGAGCACATTCCAAGGATATGGACACAGCAGCAGAAAAAAAAATCAGTCATGAATTTTATTTTGATATGAAAAATTTGTTCATCATATTTGATCCGGAGCACAATTTCAATAAAAAACATTAATTCTTTTCTCAGTTGCAGTTGGCAACCAAATTTCTGAGATTTCGGGCTAACCAAACTTTGGGAATTTTTGGTCAGAAACCAAAATTCAATTGCACAAAAACGTCTGCCAACTTCATGGTTGGTTTACCATGAGTCCACGACTGAATCATTTCCTATCTGTTTGGGGGAAAAAATCATGTGAAAGCCGGCAAGCAAAAAAAAGGATGTGGCCTTCAGAATTTAACACATTGGTAAAATTTTTTTCATCTGCCCTACCTTGAGGCATTTAAAACTGGGTCATACTAATTTCCAGACAGAACAAGCATTTCCTATAAAATAAGTTGATCCCAGTTAAAGGTGGCCTTGAGATGAAATTGGCATGAAACACAGGGCAAATTCTAGGATGGAAATAATGTGCTGAAGAACTATCAAAACAAGTTCAGGGATTCAGCTTCAAGTACTCTACTCATGTGCTGTATACTGAAACATTGATGGCAAAAGAAGTCCCTGCGCTGAACCAACTACTGCACTGAATAACATGAGGACACCTCAACCTTCAGACAATTTGACATGGGGACACTCATTTTATCATAAAAAATTGATGAAAAAGGCCCAACATGAGGACACTGACTCAACATAAGGACATTTTCTTATAAAATTGCAAATAAATGTCAGGCCAAATTAACCCTTGGACGGCAGAGGGTTCTTTCCCATAGCAGGATGGAGTCAGATTATTTTTGTATCCTCCCGCACTTTCACTTTTAAGAAGGTCACCAAAACCCTTCCAGGTGGGCTGAGGCAAAGTGGGGATTAATCCAAAAAAAGCCGGTAGCCTATCTGATAATTTTTTTTTGCCGGCAAAATTTTTCTGTGTTCAGAGAAAAAAGCATTGGGATTTTTTCCGACTTTGCCCTTGACCACCTGTGATCATTTTTTTCCTAACCTCTCTGAGGTGCCACAAAATTTTGCAAAAATAGTCCGACTTTGCCGCACAAGGGTTAAAAGAAATTGATATTTCCAACTTTAAAATTTATGTAAGAAAGATTCTTGGGCATTTCTCTCACCAATTTACCATTCATTTAGCTAATTTAAAAAAATTAACCTCCAGCAGAGAGGGACTTCCTTCTCTCTTTTTCACTTGAATATTATTCTTACAGAGAATGCCAACATTTCTATGTACTCGCATACAAACAAGGTTCAAATGGACCCGTCCGGGATGCGTCTGGGGACTCGAAAAGGTTTTCCTGGGATGAATTTCCTTTTGAGATGAAAAATTTTTTCATCATATTTGATCACTCTCATGTCACGGAGCACAATTTCAATAAAAACATTAATTCTTTTCTCAGTTGCAGTTGGCGACCAAATTTCTGAGATTTCGGGCTAACCAAACTTTGCACAAAAATGTCTGCCAACTTCATGGTTGGTTTACCATGAGTCCACTGAATTATTTTCTATTTGTTCGGGGGAAAAAATCATGTGAAAGCCGGCGAGCAAAAAAAAAAAAAGGGTTCGGCCTTCAGAATTTAACACACTGGTAGAGAGTGTTTTTTATCTGCCCCCCTTGAGGCATTTAAAACTGGATCACACTAATTTCCAGGCAGAACAAGCATTTCCTTTAAAATAAGTTGATCCCAGTTAAAGGTGGCCTTGAGATGAAATTGGAATGAAACAGGGAAATTCTAGGATGAAAATAATGTGCTGAAGAATTATCAAAACAAGTTCAGGGATTCAGCTTCAAATACTCTGCTCATGTGCTGTATACTGAAACATTGATGGCAAAAGAAGTCCCTGCGCTGAACCAACTACTGCACTGTATATGGTATACACCCACTTATGTCAAATGTGGTATGCTGTACAATAATTCTCAGAAGGGTTGAAATGGAGGGTTTTAAAATCATGCTTGAAAATACAGTGAGATCCCCACGTGAGGACACCTCAACCTGCAGACAATTTGACATGGGGACACTTATTTTATCATAAAAAATTAATAAAAAAGGCCCAACACAAGGACACTGACTCAACATAAGGACATTTTGTTATAAAATTGCAAATAAATTTCAGGCCAAATTAAAAGAAATTGATATTTCCAACTTTAAAATTGATGTAAGAAAGATTCTTGGGCATTTCTCTCACCATTTTACCATTCATTTAGCTAATTAAAAAAAATTAACCACCAGCAGAGAGGGACTTCCTTCTCTCTTTTTCACTTGAATATTATTTTTAAAGAGAATGCCAACATTTCTACGTACTGTACAGAGGTATCAGTATTCAGTTCCCCAAATGCCCGTATTGTGTTGAAATATATTGATCGGAATCAGTTTAAATTGGAAAACAATTTTTGTTTTCATGGAATTATGGTGAGTATTTTGTGCATAAAACACCAATTGAAAATTATATAATGTAAGTCTAAGGGAAAATGAGACTTGACTTAGGGACATTTCAACTTAGGGACACTCTTAATTACGTCCACATCTTGGGGTCTCACTGTAGTATAATGTACCATCCAATATTTGCAATAGGCAATGTCTAAAACATAAAACAAAACAAAAAGCTATGATAAATTCCCCCACCTCTTCTTCTAGGTCCTCGCACGCCCTCTGTCGTTCCTCCATGAGCTTATACTCCCGCTCATCGTCTTCCGCGATTTGCGCGACATCTTGCCGCCACTTTTCCTGTCTCCGGTCCCATCGCTTCTGCGCCCGTCTTTGCCGCTGCGCCACCAGGAGCCGCAGGAACCAGGCGCGGATCCTGCGCAGCAACAACATGGCGCGCTCACCCTGTTCGCGCAGCCCTGCACACAACAACGAGTCCCCACACGACACCGACGAGGATCCCTCGTGGCACCGGGGATCCTCTTGCGGCAAGACAGACTCGTCCGCAGAGTCTGAAGCACCCGCGTCGTCGTCACCGCCGCTACTGTTGTTGCTGCTGCTGCTACTCTTCTTGCCGCCGCCACCGCCGTCATCCGCGCGAGTCGCCTTCGCACTGACGAGTACGATCGGTCGCATGATCACCACCCGAGGAGGAGGAGGAGGAAGGAAGGGAGGGATGGATGGATGGATGGGTTCTTTCGACCTGTGGGAAAGGATTTAGTGATTGTTATATCAAAGCATCAGAGAATCGATTGATTAGGAATGCTCTGTTATTGGGACTTGAGGGGTTGGCACGTTCCACGAAATATGCGCGTGGAATATCATAAACAGGCGATGAGAGGAAACACGCGACACAGACACGCGGGCAAAAGTTCAATCATGCCTGTTCTGAGAGGCATGGGAACAAGAAGACAAGATGAGTGCTTTTCAACCAAGGTAAAAAAAAATAGTTGAAAATTCATCCAATTTTCAAAGGTAAAATGGTGTAATTCCTGCAGCATACATACATTTGTTGTTGCATTGCCAGAGCACCTTCCCTTCTTATGCCCAGCATTTCATACTGCTAGAAATGAGCTTAAGAAAGATTTAAAAGTATTAGAATTCAATGAAGAGACCATTTTAAAAATCATAAAAAATCAAAATAAACTGTTGGCCTTATACAATTTCTCATCAGAGATTCTCTCTCAATTCTTCATTCAACTAAATTGAAAGAAGGGGTGTACACATACACATCAGTTGTGCAATTGTACATCATGAAATTTATCTTCTTTTATTTTGGTATCCATATACAGCTTATGTATCTGTTTCCCATTCTGAAGTGATTGAATGTCTTTCAATGGATTTGGGTTGGGTCAGGAGGGGGTTTGGATGTGGGAATGTTGATTGAACCTTGTGAATGCTGATAGTGGAAAATGAAGCTTTCTATTCATTCATTCATTCACCAACATGGTACATCAAGGAATCAAATGGTGGTATTGTACCTCAATGCGCATTTGTCAGATGATACTGCACATTTTCCCCAAGTTTAATACTGTATTTACTCAAGTACCACACCACCTCAAGTAAGGCACACACATCAGTTTGTTTTTAAAGCTCAAAGTTTCCACCTGTGTACAAGCCCATTTACAAGTTGAGTACAATGATGAAGTTATTGTCTCACGCCAATTATAGAACTATTTAAGTAGAGAACTTTGAAAAAATGTTATACGTGTACAGTAGTGCAGAAGGGAACAAATGTCATAAATTTAAAAAGTTTTTTGAAAATTTGTCCTCAACTATTATGCAAATCCCCTTTTTCCCCTCTTTCTTGGAAAAAGGTGCGCTTGTTCTTTGAATAAATACGCTTATTTCACAACAGTATTTAAAGCAAGAAGCGGATGAAAGAAAATCAATGGATCAATAAAAAAATGTTTGAGGAAGACACAACAAAGAAATGAAGGGAGATTATTCTGGTCAAAGGAGTCTGAACCTCCAAATTAGCAGCCATCTTAGTTTAACCCTTAGATGACAGAGACAGGATATTTTTGGAAAATTTGGTCTCCCAAAGACTCAGAAATTTAGAAACTGCCACTTGGTGCAAGTTTAAACATTTTGGATTTGCTTTATCACTCTCATGGCCCAAAAAATTTGGTACTTTCCTGTTATCTCAGTACCTACTTTCTGTGCTTTATTTTATATAACTTGAGTTTGGCGCACAAAGTACAATCTGATTTTGGGAGGCAGTTCAGTACAATTTCATACTGGTACTGCTGAAACAATTTCATTCCAAAGTTCATAATCATGACTACCTACCAGAAACTGTGAATTTTATTTGTTTGCATTCTAATGGCCGCCGCCGGCCATTGTGTCCCGCGCAACGTGCTTTGCATCTTCAATGTGTTTTTACCTTTTTAAACTAGGCCAATCACAGGGCCTTGGCCAGCCAAGCCTGCGCGCTTCCGGCGGCCATCTTACGTTACGGTTGAGTAAGGGGTCTTGCTCAGCCCCAGCCGTCACTCAGTGCCTGACTTCCGAATCGTGCAGATCTCTCTGCATATATTGTTGGTGTTTGCTATCTTGGGTATTAAATCGCTGTGATCAGTTACCTGTTCTGTTTTATTCTCAAGAGAGTCTGAGAATTCAGCATTCTGCTGAAACTGATTTTGGCCAGAAACCCAAAGAAAGCAGAAACTGATTTTGAGAGGCAGTTAGGTAAAGTTAGGTTAGGTCAGGTTATGTCAATTAAAAGATATTTGTAGCTAACATAACCTGACCTAACCTAACTTTACCTAACCGCTTCCCAAAATCAGTTTCAGCAGAATGCGGAAAAATAAAATTCACAGTTTCTGGTAGGTAGTTGTGATTATGAACTTCAGAAAAATAAAATTCACAGTTTCTGGTAGGTCATCATGATTATGAACTTGTCCTAAAGATTTGTCTGGATGGTAGTGTGGTCTAGGAATTAGGTACTGAGATAACAGGAAAGTACCAAAAATTCCCTTCATTCATCTGCTTTTTTCATTCATTTTATTACAGCAGGCATCTTCAGAAACAGTAGCATCCATTCAGTATCACTTAGTCACACTTTGTTGGGACAAATTGTGTGTGTACTCAATTCTGGGTTGAAGTTCCTGTAAACCATAATCCATAATTCATTGTAAATTATAAAGTCACATCCTATTCAACCACCCCCTTATGAACCACCACCCTTGGTTCCTGCCAAAATTGCATCTGTAATAAACTGGCCTTATGCTAAATGGATGAGGAAACCTTAATGCACTTTGGTTTCCTTTGTGCAAAGAAGGTTGGCATTTGGACCTGCCCATTAGTGCTACCCCAATAAACTATCACCCCCAATGAACTGTCAAAGTTGTGCTGCACAAAACATTGGCAGGTTCAACTGTACAATGTTCTCAGGAATTTAATGCCAGTATTAATTTTAAAATGCTGCTAGAAAATTTTACAAAAAGAGATTCAAAGTATTTTGACAAATAGGTTTAAAATGCGTTGATATCAAGAAGATCATCCATGGATTTGCTATGAATTCGAATTAGGGCGATTCTTGACTTACCAAGGCTTCACTTGACAAGATCCATTGGCAAATTCAAGTGGATTTTTTTTCTTTAATTTTACACAAACTTGATCCATTCCAGGATAACATCAATTGAACACATAGTTTGTGAAGCAGAGCTTTAGGTCCTCTTCAACTCCAAAAAAAGTATGCATTTAATTTGTTCTGTATATGAAGTACAAACTTGAAAAAAAACTGTCTCCCTCATAAAATCCTCTGCTTCTGGATGAATAAATTCTCTCGGGATCGAAACATTAAAGCAAACTACAATGCGTGAAAAAAATAATCATTTCCTGAAATTCAGGAAATTCGACAATATCCTTTTATTGTCGTTTACGGTTGATTCATTTCCGACGTTATTACACGAAACATAATCAAAAAAACGTGATGATGAATCCATCAAAACAAGTCAACTGCGTCATAATTCACTTGTTTCGATATAACGAACACAATATGATGCGACGCACGGATTGAATTGAATAGATCGCATGATCATTCGATCAAACGCAACAACAAAAATTTATATACTGTATCTCGCAAATCGTCGTATTTACGATATTTCTTTAAAATTAATTATGCTCGCAAAATTTTAAATGAATTTTCAACGCAAGAGTGGCCACTTTCATGCAAGCGAGTCCAGTCACACAACCTGTCACAGCATCAGCAAAATAAAGGGAACACGGGCATGTGTTGTACTGTACAGTATATAGAGAAAACTGCTGAGTTCGGCCACAACACGGGCGTGTCAGTCACGCACTGGCACAGCTTTTCATGCGCTCAAACACCAGACTGTTTTAGTTTTTATTTAGCCTGAAAGCAAGAACCAAAAAAAAAGAAAAAGGAAAAAGAATTTCACGAAAAAACTCGCCGCGCTGAATCAGGTGATTTCATTTCCGGCCTCCAAACTTTTTCCACGCCGATATCGTGCATATGGTGCCTGCAGCCAGATTCGCTTCCGCACTGCTTCCCGTTGCGAACTCAACAATCGCGTTTGAGAGTACAGTACTGTACGATAAAACCAATTTGTAAAGCACGACTAACACGAGAGCGCAAAATGTATAGCCGAGATAATTAGCTGGAAGGACTGAAAGCCGGTGCCAAGCGTGGAGGAACGAAACGTTGGCCGGTGACTTTTTGCTACTCGAAGCACAGATCTGAAAGCATTTTAATTCGCTCTGAAAACTCGTTTGAAGAGGAAAGCGAGCGGCGAAATTTCAAAAGTACACTAAAAGATTATATAAAATACTGTATAAACCTGCCCCCCCCCCCTCCCAATGAATTGCCAAAATTGTGCTGCACAACCATTGGCAGGTTCAACTGCAACATGCTCTCAGGAATTTAATGCCAGTATTAATTTTAAAATGTTGCTAAAAAAAATTAAAAATATATTAGAATAAAATTATTTTGACAAAAAGGTTAACACTTTTTGACAAAAAGGTTAACAATTTTTGACAAAAAGGTTAACAATTTTTGACAAAAAGGTTAACAATTTTTGACAAAGAGGGAAAACAGGACGAAAAATAGTTATTAATTACATGCCATGAAAGCCCTAAAAGGGAGTTAAATATAACATATGATCAGGGGTTTAACTGCATTAATTGAATGAAATTTGAGTCCTGATCTCTGAGAATTCTGAACTTCACGCTTGTCAAATTAAACCTTTCCTGCCAATTTCTTTCTCATACAATAAAGTTCCGTTCGTAAAATAGCTAAATGGCCGATTATTCAAGTAGAGTAAAATCTGGTTTAACCAAATTATAATGCTTATTACAACGACTTTGGCTTTTTTTTCACCTGCCCAATAGCCCAAATATTATTTTAATTTTGTTTTAACGAATTTTCGTTTATAACGAAGCTTTTCAAGGTCCAGATCTGTAACAGCTAGAAAAGCGATAATGTATTATGAAAGCCACGAGGAAACATTCCTTGGAGACAGTAAATGCATTTTCATTGCTGCTCCCCATCTTATTCAAAAAGTCTAAACTTGCCATACGTAGGGTTCGAATTGAGCTGAGAATCAATAAAGAAATCCACTGGTGAGACGATTGATTTATGAGTCATCATGGAATACTTTTTTTTCTCGAGGACCTGTCCCTAAGTCAACATTTGTAAAACTAACCAATCATCACCAACTTGTTCAGAGATTTTTAACTTT